TCTCTCTCTCTCTCTCTCTCTCTCTCTCTCTCTCTCTCTCTCTCTCTCTCTCTCTCTCTCTCTCTCTCTCTCTCTCTCTCTCTCTCTCTTGTTCGAGCGCGCGTGTGCGAGCTGCCTCTCTTTCCCTATCCCGGTCACACACAGGTGCCTCTCTTTCCCTCTGTCAGGTTGGCACCTCTACCTCTCTTTCCTCTCTTCCGCAAGTGCCACCACGCCTCTCTAGCTCTCCACTCACGCTGGCTGCCACCTGTCTTCCTCTCCTTTAGTCGCGCTCACCACAGCCTCTCTCTCTCATGTATGCCTCCACCTCACTCACTCTCCCTCTTTCGCACATGCTGCCACCTCTCTCTCGTGTGTGCACCTGGTATTGTCTCTCTTGTCTCTCTCTCTATATATATACATATGAGGCAGTGGGAACAGGCGCCAGGCAGGGTAAGGGAGGAGAAAATGTGGGGGTTGGATGGCAGAGGGCGAAGGGAGGACGGCGGCAGCCAACTTCGCAAATAGATGGTGGAAGGAGGGTGGCAGTGGCTGACTTCAGGTGCAGAGGGCCAAGGCATGGCCAGTAGGATCAGGCCCCACGGCTTCCCTCCAAGATTCTCATCTGGGACAGGCCAGGTCCCAGTTTGACGTGCGATCTTAAAAGCATAAGATCATGTGACGATCCAGGCCATTGACCAGGTGGGGCATGGCAGATAACATATTTGTTACATTCATGCGAGAATCTGGGCCATTGGCCTGGTAGGACACTACAACCCTCGTCACATATTTGTTGCATTTGTGCAACCATCCAGACTATGGGCTGGTAGGACAGGGGACCACACCGGTTTTATATTTGTCGTTTTATATTTGTCACATCAACGGTTTTTTTAGTGCGGGGACATTATTTCTTTTTTATCTTCAATTCTGTTAGGAATTCTGAGGTGACCTCAGCCAGAAGTTTTAAATTATTACTCTCTACAACATGCTTTGTTTTATAAGAACAAGTGGACCCGCTGCGGCTACGCCCGCAGCACAAAGAGCAGGCATGGCGCGGCGATGCCGCACCTCAGGTCCCATTCAGCCCATACACCGCAGGATTGGACCAGGCGGTTCAATGCGGGACAGGACATACCATGTGGCCAGCGACGACCCGCAGTGGGCAGAGTGCAAGGAACAGCACCAAGGGCCATGTTCCACCATTGACCACATGGACATACCATGCGAACTAGGTGGTACAATGTGGGCCAGATATGAATCCGACAAACCATTCACGATTACATGTACTGGTACACACAGACGCGCACACCATAATGGTACACGGACCCGCACGCCGTACACTTCGTAGTCGAACACAAGTGCAACGCAATGTGCTTGACAATAGACAACAGAACAGAAACTTGATTATCAAACATTCGCAGTGGTAGGATCGCCCATGGACATACCATGCGAACTGGGCGGTACAATGTGGGCCAGCCCACGCAGGTCAGATCATAGCATGAGGGCCGGATCGCGGGCTGGACGGTACAGAGTCTCCGCCCCCAAAAAACCGCAGCCGCGGCACCTGTGTTGGGTGAAACTATGGAAACCGCTCCACTACTCAGTAGATGTGCAAAATGAGAAGGAATCTTCCGCTAGAACATGGGAAGATGCACTGCCATATTTTTTGCCTTTTGTGCACGAGGCGAGTAGAAAAGAGGGACCCTATGGATGTCAGTATGGGCCTCACTCCACTACTCTCCACATGCACGAAAGAGAAAAAAATATGGTGGTGTATCTTCCCATGTTCTAGCGGAAGATTCATTCTCATTTTCAACATCTGGTGAGTAGTGGAGCAAGGGCGCTCTTCCCATGTTCTAGCAGAAGATTTATTCTCATTTTGCACATTGCTATGTACTCGTATTCGAACATTCCCGTGTGGCGGCCTAGACTCATTGGGCTTCACTCCACCACTCAACACTCTACATGCACTTTGACAAACTTTCTGGACCAGCTGCGTTTGGAGGAGTCCAACATTTGCAATGTATCAGGACGACTGTGAGCTCCAGGTACGTCAAGAGTGTTGAGTGGTTGAGCTAGGCCCATTCACACTTTCCTCGTCGTGGCTATGTAGTGTTTGAGCCTTCCCGTGTGGCGTCCTCCCATCAAAACCAAAACGCCTTCCGTCCAAAAAAGGAGAAAAATAACTAAGGGAATCTACAGCTGGCAAGACTCCAGTACTCACTGCGTGCACAACAGACAAAGGGGCATCGCCACACCACTCACCAAATGTGCAAAAACTTAAAGAGAATGAATCCTCCCGTAGAACACAAACAGATGCACCTAGTTTTTGTCGTTAGTGCCCCTGAGGGAATCTACAGCTGGTGAGGCTCCACTACTCACTGGGCGCACAACAGAGAAAGGGGCGTCGCCACACCACTCGCCAAATGTGCAGAAAGAGAATGACTCCTCCCCTAGAGCAGGGGGCTGACTTTGTTACTCACCACGAACACAAAAGACAGAAAACACGGCAGTTCTAAGAAGACAAAACCTCAATCAACAGGCAAAAAAAAAAAGAGAAACTGAAGGAATCTACAGTGTCAGCCCACAGTCACGGCTGCTATGTACTTGTATTCAAACAGTTGTGGCCGCCCCAGGCAGACGCCTTAGGGCCTCGGGGCGCCTCCACACGATTCCGGTTTCCCGTGCCTTTTCCCTGGACCCGTGCGAAGCGTCATGTGGGGCCCGGGTTCGCTCTTAATAAGATAGAGAAAAAATGATAAAAGTCCCTCTTTTGCACTGGGGGTGGATCATCCTAATCCGGATTCACCCAGAAATAGATATTCGGCCGGATGAATAAGGACCAAAATGGTGGGCCGTAAATGTGGCTGTGCTGCATAGTTTTGTAAGGATTCCAAAGACTACTGCAGGCCTATATTCTATTGATCTTTTATTACCCCTTTGGGGCATGTAACTTTGACGTTTCCGGCGCCAATTTTGGCATTATTTGAACCAAAATTGTCAGGCCTTACTGGGTTCCCACCAGTAGGGCCTCAAATTGCGGCCAGGCACGTCAAAGTTAAATGCCCAAAGGAGTATTTTTCATACCAAGAACACACACACAACTGATAGGATCCCACATACCTCAGCAGCAATCTCAGCATTACTTGAACCGAAATTGTCAGGCCCTACTGCGTTCCCACCAGTAGGGCCTCATGATTTCGGTTCACTAAACACCCAAATTGCGCCCAGGAGCGTCGAAGTTAAATGCCCAAAGGGCCAAAGGAGTATTTTCATACCAAGAACACAGACACAACTGATAGGACCTCATCAGAAGCAACCTGTCTAAGCTGATGTCCTCATCCACTAATATTCCTCTAACCCCACAGTCAATATTCAACGTTAGCGTCATTGCTGCAAGGTGGGCTGGATATCCAGCTGTGCTGCCTACTGTCTTCCCCCGAACACAACGCACCCTCATTTTGCCTGTATCGGGCCGGAAACATGCCTTCCATACGTTCAATTTCAGGGTGCGTTATGTTCAGGGGAAGACGGTAGTCTGGGAACGCTTCAAAAGAACATCATAGGCTAATATTCTATTGACCTTTTAATAGGCTTTTATTGTTTTCCTGCCAAAAGACAGACACATCCGATAGGATTTCACATACCTCATCAGAAGCAGCCTGGCTATGCTGATGTCCTCATTGCTGCTATTCCATAAGACCCCACAGCCCAGGAGCCAAGATTCAACGTTAGCTTCATCGCTGCCACTAGCCATTGCTTCCTCCTTCCGCTGCTGCTGCTGCTGCTGCTGCAAAACTGAGCCAACATAGGAGAGAAGAAGGGTTCAGCATTGCAGACACACTATTGATGCATGCCTTTCAACATAAAGGCAATGCACAGATCCAATGAATCGCCAACATGAGAAAAATACAAATACAGTTTGCACAAGTGCTCCTCTGGTTGTTCCATTCGCGGTTGCTGCGATGGCAAGATGCGTACTTGTGCGTATTAACATGTCCTCATGTGGTGGATTGCACCCGTTTTCCGACATGTACATGCGAAGAGCTTCTCGAAATAAGTCATTGCAACGGAGGGCATCCAATATCGCTTTGGCGGTTCCCGTCGCACCTTCGTWCCCATTGAATACCGCATTTTCGCRGGGGRAAAATCGAAGATGCAACTTYGCYGTGTCGCRTGCGGCAAGTGTGTTCATTCCGCTTGCCGAGCACCCCATGATGGACGACCAATTCTCAGTTGTCCTTTTCCTCTGTTTTCRTGCACGTTCAATGTCGTCGTCGAATGWGACAGCCCGTCGCACATGATTCACCATTTGAAACGAAGCTTTGCGCTTGTTCGACGACAGGAAAGACTGTTTACAAAACTTCTGGTGGTGGTGCTCCCACACATCGGCCGCGAAGCTGTCTGGGATACCTGAACGTTCGATGCACGCCCTCAAATGCAGAAGGTCGTGCAACTTCGACAGTTTCCAGTTGGAGGTTTGATAATGACCCAAAACCTGTTTGAGGGTTGTTATGAAGTCCGTCATAAGATTGTCATATGTGTCAAGCGAATGGCTTGAATGCTTTGTGCACCGGAACATTGAGATGTACAGTTCCATTAGTTTCTTGAAACAAGATGTTATTCTTTTCCCCACCGACCCAGGGATAATGTTGGACACTATGAATACGCACACTGTCATAACCGACCGGTTCTGCTTAGCTTCGAAACACCCCTCCCGTGAAAAGTAGTCGCTACCTGTTGCAACATGTAGCACAAGTTGCGGATACGTAGTACTGCTTCTCTCGCTCAGCGTCTGCAACCTCGCATCCAACTCACGTGACTCACTCGCAGAAAATGACTCCACACCATCACTCAGAGCAAGCCAGAAGGGGAAACATACATAGACAAAATCCCTCCCGAGTCCTGGCAGATCACGCACATGGGAAGATGGGCATCGATGGTGAGAGGAGAGAAGGGGAACAAATGTGAGAGAAGATGGACAGAGATGAACACAGTAGTTGCAGTGAGAGTAGTGTCCCAACTTCTCATTAATCCCGCGCAACTGGGCCTACCAGTTAGTTGGAGAGGCTGCACCCAGCCTTTCTCCAAACTGCCTCATGCCAGCCTCCCCAGAGGCCTGGCGGCATTTTACAGGGCAGGCCTGCTTGTAAGCCTCGCAAGTCCTGATCACCCTCTTCCTCGCCCTACCTCTACACTAGCCCTACCTAGCTATGTCTACCGTCTTCTTCTCTCTTATTGGGCTGGGGCTGTCTTCCTCTTCCTCTTCCTGGAGCCAGCCTCCTCTCTCTACCGCCAGCGCTGAGCAGTGCTCTGCCCACCAACACGTGCAATGTGGCATACTGCGCAGCCACACGGGCCTGCAGGGCCCGACCAGCGTTCTCAGCCTAAAAGCCTGAAAACAAGGGCCCACAGGCCCTGTGTCGTTTCAGCCTAAAAAGAGCCCTCCAGGCCCTGAGTCATTTCAGCCTGAAACGGAGGGCCATTTTCAGGCCCTCATAAGATCGACCTGCCCTGAAACTTAGGCGCAAGACCAGGGTTTTAACACAGGCCATTTTGGGCCTGTTTTCAAGACAACCTTTGTTTGAACTTCAACGCCAGGGTCTGGCACACGTTTTGGCATTGGCAAGAGCAGCCTCCTGGACGGGCCAGCACTATATAAGACTGGCCCGCCCTACAGGCTGGAGGTAATCACGAGGTAGTTCCTAGGGACTTCCCAGGCAGTTCACGGGCACTTCACGTGCAGGAGGCAGGAGGCAGTCCTCAGGATTTCGGCAGCAGCACTCTGGAGGAGCGCTGCAGTAGTAGTAGTAGAGTTAGGAGTAGTCTTCAGCGCGGGGCGCTATTAGGAGTTAGTAGCGTTGGAGAGAGAGAGATGGTTGGCGGAAGTCTGGTTGGCGGAGGCCAGGGAGACTTACCTGTGGCACCATAGCTCCAGCTTCGTCTTCAATGTACCTGCAACAAGGCGCCACCTTCACAGGTTAGTAGGGGACAGAGAGAGAGAGAGTTCTTCTTCTTCTTCCTCTTCTAAGTCCACCATCTCTCCCTCACCCTCTCGCCACCTGACTTCTCAGTATCTGCAGACTACTAGAGAGAGAGAGAGATTGGTGACTTTGGGACTTGACGACATTTGGATTCAGACTCAACATCGGGAGTGAGACATTGGACGAGGGATTATTTGGGACCTGTACTGAAGTCTTGGTGTTGACGACATTCCCATCTTCCCCTCTTCTTCGTCTAATCCCCTCGTCTATGTATACTTGGGACTGGCGCATGCTTCCTGTGTGAGCGCCAGGTCCCTTCACACCATACGATGATGATGATGTATGTTTGGTCCGCATTGCGACATTGATTGATCGGATCATTGGTATATTGGCCTTCCACTGCGTTATCTTGTACTATGTGAGAGAGGTTGGTTCTTGTTCTGCTCTGCACCTTTACGGTATGCGACATGCTAGGATGAATCCTCCTCCAAAGCTTCACAACAGGACAGGATCCTGTTCAAACAGACATTTAAAGCACAAATAAAATGAAAATTACTATGTCGGTCACAAATTACTAGCCATTGATTTATCATGGTTCGATTTGTGCTAGCCTGAAAGCAATTGCCGAGAAAGAGCAGGGATCACAATCAGAAGGTGGTAACCATTCTTGCTGCAGATAGTTTGGCACGAATGTCAGTCGGCCATGTGTTGCAATGCAATTATTTATCAATAGCTGAACCAGCCAATACAGAACCAATTCCAATCAATCAATCAAACTCAAACAAGCAAATTGAATCAATGAAATCGGATAGGGATCATAGGGGTATATCCACCAATCACTCAATCAATCAACAGTTTACAGATACCGTAAACAACCAACCGACCAACCAACCACCCACCCACCCA